GAATAGAATAGAATAGAATAGAATAGAATAGAATAGAATAGAATAGAATAGAATAGAATAGTTGGAAGGGACCTTGCAGGTCATCTAGTCCAGTGGTCCCAACCAGTGGGCTGGGGACCACTGGTGGTCCCTGAGAAAAATTTGGTGATCCGCAGAGAAATGTCACTCCCAAAGCAATTAATCCAGACTGTGCGGGGAACACAAGGCTGTGCCGCCCACATGGGCTGCAGAAACACAAGGTTTGCGTCACTTGCAAACAACACAAGGTAGTGAGGGGAGGGGGGAAAGGCCAGAGGGAGGAACTTGTCCCACGCGCCCCATGTGCCTGGCCTGGCTACTGGGCTGCTTCTTTCCGCTTCTTTCTTCTGCTGTTGGCTGCACGCAAGGAAAGCAGCAAAAGTCTTTCTTTCTCTCCCCCAAACTCCACCAGAAATGAGTCTTTGGGATCCTGGAAGGCATCCTGCTCCAAGAGACTTTGCCAGCACGATAAGTCTCACAAAGACTCATTTCTGGCGGAGTTTGGGGGAGAGAAAGAAAGACTTCTGCTGCTTCTGCTGCTTTCCTTGCATGAAGCCAAAAGTTTCTCTCTCTCTGTCTCTCTCTCTCTGTCTCTCTCTCTCTGTCTCTGTCTCTGTCTCTGTCTCTCTCTCTCTCTCTCTCCCCCTGAGAACGGAGCTGGAGACAGTATCCTGCAATCCCAAATAAAGAATGATCAATCGGTAGGAAAATGGGATAGGGGAATTTTCCTGCAGACTTTTTTGGGGATTTTCCCAAAGTCTCTGGTCCACGGGATTTAAAATTATGAGTTTGGTGGTCCCTGAGGTCCAAAAGGTTGGTGAGCCCTGTTCTAGTCCATCCCCCTGCTTAGGCAGGGAGCCCTACACCACTTCAGACAAATGGTTATCCAACATCTTTGTTAAAACTTCCAGTGTATATACACATACATACATATACATGTACATTCACAACTTCTGGAGGCAAGCAGTTCCACTGATGAATTGTTCTCACTGTCAAGAAATGTCTCCTTAGTTCTAGGTTGCTTCTCTCCTTGATTACTTTCCACCCAGCACTTCTTGTCCTATCCCTCAGGTTCTCAGGTGGACAAACATCGTGCTGGAACAAACCGGCTCAATTCTGCTGAGGACGATCGGAGTCAACTCTAAAGACCAGATGAGATCTAGACATGCTCTGAACCAGATCCTATTCTTCCCTGCTTGATCACTTTCCCCCACACCACCCCAAACTTCTGACTTAACCCAAGTTGGACAGAGAATCTATCAAGTAATCAGGGTAGCATGCAAGCTGTGAATCCCTGGACACCAGAGGTGGTATTCAGCAGGTTCTGACCAGTTTTGGAGAACCGGTAGCAGACATTTTGAGTAGTTCAGAGAACCGGCAAATGCCACCTCTGACTGGCTCCGCCCCCATCTATTCTCTGCCTCTTGAGTCCCAACTGATCGGCTGGGTCTTCTTTGGTTGCCCTGCACAGGAGAACGGAGCTGGAAAGCAGGTTAGAGGGATGGGGAGGGAATGGGGTTTTTGCAGTAACCTTCCCCTGCCACACCTACTAAGCCACGCCACGCCCACCAAACCACGCCCACAGAACCAGTAGTAAAAAAAAAAAAATTGAATCCCATCCCTGCTGGAAACCCCAATGAAACAAGGCATGATGAGGTTCCTTGAAGAGAAGGAGCCTGCTAGGTGGGGCACAGCCAAAATGTCACCTGGACTAAAACCTTGCCGGGACACCTTTGCCTGATTCTTGCCCACTCTCTCTTGTGCAATGTCTATTTTTCTCCTTAACCCTCCTCGTTTTAACACCTGGCGATATATTACTGTCGTTTTTTTACATCCGTTTTACGATATAGATAGTCCCGTCTTAATTGGGTGTGAGTGTCTGGGGGGAGGAAGGGGGAGGTCTTGCTTTTTCTCCGTATGGTAAAGCATAAGCAATCGCCTGTCACTTTTGTATCCCACGGCATCCTGCATTGCCTTATGTGCAGCTATAACAATAACCATAAAGATGATTGCAAAGCTGCCCTCGGGGTCCACTTGAACCAAAAGGTTGGGCTGTAAATTGAAAAGAAAGGGAAAGTTGGGGAAAGAGATAAAGAAAAAGGGGGGAAAAAAATCATCCCGGCTCACTCTCTTACTCACCCAGAGTAAGTGTGATGACTCGGGGCATGGCACAGAAGCAACAAAGTCGCAAAAGTAGGTAAAGTCCCGTTAATTCCTCCAACTTGGCCCCCATGTCCAGTTATCATCGGCTGGAGAAAAAAACTCTCCCAAGAACAGTTTTTAAACGGAAGAAATTCGGTCCGAACCCAAAGTTCATCCAAATTATAAATAAAAAACAACACAAACCATGCTGCAGCAATTAACAAGACAGGGCAGGATAAGGAATTGCAGACTTCCAAAAGATAATGAAACGCACACAGTTGGAAGGACACCAGAACCCAGATAAGAGTGACAAACAAAGATAATGGACGCTTTGCTTCCAGCAAGGTGCTGTGCACAAACGCCCTTTATTATTCCTGTTTTCCCAGCTGCAGCCAATGAAGGGAATCAGGGCCTTATTTTCCTCCGTAACCCATGTTGCTCCCTTATCCAACCTCCCTGCATGCCCTAGGATGAAGAGGGGGTGGGCTTGGGTCTTCCTCTGAATGCCCAGCCGGACTGTGCCCTTCCCCAGTTTCCTCCACAGCCACCGGAGCCACACTCCCGCTCCGTGTTATCTGTTCAACCTCCCCCTCAGAATCAGATTCCAACACGGGCATGACAATAAGCTGGAGAGCCATCCGTCACTGGGTGGAGTGGCCTTTTGCAGGTATGTCAGAAACTTTTCCCTAGTTTTCTCTTCTGTCCTTCCATGACAGTAAGAGAATCAACCTGGAAGTTCTTGCCCCACCAACACCAATCTGCACCCTCTTCCCATCCTGGTGTTCAGCCTTCTAATACAGGTAGCCCTCAATTTATGGCCACAATTGAGCCAACATTTCTGTCGCTAAGTGAGACATTTGCCCCATTTTATGACCTATGGTAAGACCAGACCTAGAGTAGTCCACCCAGTTTTGGTCACCACGCTAGAAAAAAAGAGGTTGAGACTCTAGAAAGAGTGCAGAGAAGAGCAACCAGGATGATTAGGGGATTGGAGGCTAAAACATATGATGAACGGTTGCAGGAACTGGGCGTGGCTAGTCTAGTGAAGAGATGGACCAGGGGAGACATGATAGCCATGTTCCAATATTTGAGGGGATGCCAACCCCCTGCCCAAGTGGGAGACCCTACACCATTTCTGACAGATGGCAGTCCCATCCCTTCTTGAAAGCCTCCAGGGATGAAGCTCCCACAACTTCCAAAGGCAAACTTCTGTTCCATGGGTTGATTGTTCTCACTGTCAGAAAGTTTCTCCTTATTTCCAGGTTAAATCTCTCCTTGATCAGTTTCCATCCATTATTACTTGTCTGGCCGTCGGGTGCTTTAGAAAATGGCTTGACCCCTTCCTCCTCTCTGTGGCAGCCCCTCAAATATTGGAAGACTGCTATCATGTCTCCCCTGGTCCTTCTCTTCACCAGACTAGCCATGCCCAGTTCCTGTAACCGTTCTTCATACGTTTTAGTCTCCAGTCCCCTAATCATCCTGGTTAGGGGACTGGAGACTAAAACGAGTTTGTTTTTATTGTTTGCCCGTGTGTTATTGCGGTTGAAGCTGAAGTAGTCATTGACAGGTAGGACATTGTAGCAGACAATTTTGTGTACTAAACTGGTGGCATAGGTGGCATAGTTCTAGGTTGTCCAGGTCCAAAATTTCAAGCCTGGTAGCACAAGGTATTCTACTGCGAGCAGAGGAGTGGAGTTCTCTTCTCGTGAAATATCTCTGGACTCGCTCAATTGTATTAATGTCCGTTATACAGTGTGGATTGCAGGCAGATAAGCTGTATTCGAGAATTGGTCTGGCAAAGGTTTTGTATGCCTTGGTTTGCAGTACAGTGTTACCGGAGAAGAAGCTTCGCAAAATTAGGTTAACAACTCTTAATTTAGTTTAATTTAGTTCGGTTTAGTTTAGTTCACTTTACTTTATTGTCATTGCACCTCGTACAACGAAATCAAACACCATCTTCAGTGCACATCATGACCATGAAAATAAACACGAACACACATCCTTCACACTCCACACACTGAATTGAAAAACCCTGACACCGCACCAACACAGCACTATACAGTAGTGTCCGGGGATAGAAGCTGTTTTTCAGCCTGATGCCTTTTTGGCAATGCTGTTACAGTGAGCTCTGGGGCTTAGATCTTTTGAAATGAGTACCCCAAGGTCCTTGACAGGGTGAGTGTCGTCTACGAGGTCGTATCCGCCCAGTTTGTATTTAGTGTTCTGATTTTTGTGGCCAATGTGTAGGACAGAGCATTTGTTGGTTATCGCCAGCAGCGATGGCTGCGAGGCCCACGGAGGAGGAGATGTCCCATCTGGAGCGGTGCTGTTGCCCGTTTCCCCCCACAGTGAGGACCGTTCTCAGCCAGGCTGTTCCCGCATGGGAAGCAGATGGGGGAGCCAGGTGGACACCCCGTCCATCACGCCAGCTGTCATCCTCCTACGGAGGCATTCGACAGGGAGCAGGCCACCAGCAAAGTGCACGAGGAGGGAATAAGCCACCTGGATGCCGGAGCAGAGGCCTGGTGTGTGTGTGTGTGTGTGTGTGTGTGTGTGCATGTGTGTGTGTGTGTGTGTGTGTGTGCGTGCCCTACGGTTTCTTTCTCTTCCGACAATAGCGTGCCTTTGTCTATTCTTTCTCAGAAGGATTGAGAAATTCCTTTCCTCTTTCTTTGAGCGGTGTTTTTGATCCTACTTTATCTGAAAGCGAGCAGATTCCATTTTCTTTTTACGTATAATCTTGTTTAATTGAATTGTCTAAGAACCTGGAACTGGTTAGGAGGCAGTAATTATGCCTTGGTTGTGCATAATTAATAAGTTTAAAGCAGGTGAGGTAAAATTCATATCATAACAGTTATGTCTCTTTCTCTTTCTCCTCCTCTTCCTCCTCCTCTTCCTTCTTCTCCTTCTGCTTCTCTTTCTTATTCTCCTTCTACAGTTCTCCCTTCTTCTTCTCCTTTTTTTTCCTCCTTCTTCGGCGTTAGCATAACATTTGTGTCTCTTTCTCCTCCCCCTCTTCCTTCTCCTCTTTCTGCTTCTCCTTCCTATTCTCCAGTACTCCTTTTTTCTCCTTCATTTTTTCCTCCTTCTTCTCTTTCTATGACTCCTTCTCCTTTTTTTTCTTTAAGTCAATTGAAACTTGGAATGAAGCAATATTGAAGGACCAAGGCCTGTCTAATTCCCTGTTGGCCCACCTATCCATCAGAAGACTACCATTCTTCAGACTAAACAGAACAAGACCCAATGTGGTGTACAGGAAGAAGGCAGCAGAAGAATCACAGAATTGGGAAATGGACCAGAATTCTCACAGCTGAAATCCTCCCAGGGCATCCCTACTTGGACAGCCATTTTGAATTAAGCTCACAACTCCATCCTACGTATCCTTCCCATGTTCTGATCATGTGACCCAGAGCAAAGTCGTTACTAAGTCATTATCCTCCCTATCTTCCACAATCTAGAACAAGTGTTTCTGAACTTTAGCAACTGTTAAGAGGTATGGATCTCAACTCCCAGAATTCCCCAGCCAGTACAGCTGACTGAAGAATTATGGGAGTTGAAATCCATACTTCTTGAAAGTTTCTTCTCCAGAAGCGTAGGAAGAAAACAAGGCTGCTGTGAAAAAAGCAGGACATCCCCACACACTCTTGAGCCACCTGTTTAGTATGTAAGCACCGCATTCCACCTCCCTTTTCCCAAAGAAATTTTTGGGAAAGCAATTTGCTTTCTTCACATGAGAACATTCGGGGAGTGGAGGGCAGAATGCAAGAGAATGATTCCGCCTGGCATGAATGGAAAGCATGCTGAGACATATAAAATAAGTGGCCTTGTCCAAATCAGTGTCACATACAGTTTTTTTCTGCTCCCGAACAATCCTTTCAGGAATGGATCTGGCAACAGAGTGACCTGCACTGAATTAAATTCATCAATCTGCACCCTTTCCTCACTTTGAAAAATGTCTTCTGATGTGTGAGTAGGAACAGTCCTATCAGTAGGCCATCTTTGTTGGCTATTTGTGCTTCTTATAACAGGTCAGGAAGCATTAGAAAAATCCTGATAGGGTGTGTGTGTGTGTGTGTGTGTGTGTGTGTGTGAGAGAGAG